TGGGATCCAAATTCTTATGGTCTGGCTCTTTAGTTAAAGTTTGTAAGATCTGGGTCTATACCGAGAGGCAACAGTGAATATAACCTTTAGGGAGAAAACAAGAACAAACAGCACTGTTTTAAGAGAGGAGCTATGTAGCAATAAGCCAGAAACAGCACATGGTGAGGAAGAGCTCCAGGGTTGGTGAGGAAGACAACAGGCTTGCTGGAAGGACTTCACACATGAATCTGTAATTTATGGAGCTGATCAGAAGAGCAGAGAGAGATAGGGAGGGGCTGTGGGAGCTGGACCTGGGGAATCTGAGTCAAGAGGGGAAAGGTGAAGGGCTCTACAAAGACACATTCAAGATTAACACGTACTCTGCTAGATGGACTTAGGTTAAGCCAGACCTGGACTCAAAACCTAGCTTCACTACCTTCTTACCACCTGTCTGTCCACACCTGGGAAATTTATTTGAGCTCCTGGAGCCTCCATTCTTGCACATTAATAGGCTCTCTGCCATGCAGTGTGTGTTCAATAAAAGTTTGCTACCATCGCCCTTATTAGTGTTTGCCATTTCCACCATTTCCTAGAGTTGGTGGGCTGTAGCACATCCAGGAAGCTGATAACCCCGCATTAGTCAATGCCACAGCTAAGAGAGAAATGCTTTCTGCTCCGATGAGTTATGGTTTTGCTAAAACATCCTAGGGTCCCACCTGTTTTTTAAAAATTCTCCCAGCTGGTTCTTAGATTTGAAAAGAGAAAGACCTCCATAGAGACCTGCACGCTTTAAAAAATAATACAAAACAGAATGTCTGAGGTCTGGGTAAGCCAAGCCAAACAAATAAATCTTGCAAGATTATGTTAACAAAACAAGGTTTACTGGATCAGGGCGACCGGACTCAGCTCTGCACAGAAACTCCAAGTTCTGGTGAATTTCAGACACCAGGAGGTCAAACAGGAAGATCACATTATGCAGCACTTTAGGGTTCAGCTTCAGTGTCTGGCCTGGAACCAGGACAGCATTCTGCAGAGGACGGTTTCCAGAACTCCTGGGTCAGCAGAGTCCCACATAGCCAGCCCAGAAGGGTTCTATAGCTCATGCGTACAGGCCCTTTGCAGGCTCGTTTCGTAAGGCCTATCTAGTCACATATGCATGCTCGCAAGCTGCTTTGGCTGGGGTGTGAGCTCTGACAGACACTAGTCTCATGGAGGTTTGGTAAGAAGTGCTCTGAAAAGCACTGGAAAGGTAGAAAAACAAAGGAAGCAGCACTGAGCGCATGGAGAGGCTGGGTCACATCAAAGCCTCGGCCAACTCCAGAAAGAGTTCTAGAGCAGGGATGGCCTTGAGTTGTCTCAAGCTGGGGTGAAGAAGCCAGGTCTTCCTATCACTGAACACAACGGGTCCCTGGTAGAGGATGTGAGTGTGGGTGAGTTATTTCTCTTTACCTGAGAAACTTCTAAAACAGAACTCATGACTGAGGCTGTCTTCTGGGGCAATTCCAGAGGTGGGGGAAACTCCCTCACTCCTCCAGCCACACCATAGCAGGCGCTATGTGCACTACTTCTGTGATGAGTTGTTCTTTTTCTAGGAAAAAATTCTACATGTTTAAAGTGACACAGATTTGGCATTGTTTGCAAGAGTAAAATTATGTAAGACAAACTGTAGTGAACTCTAGGCATCGTCAATATGATGAAGGCAGCTCTTTGCACATGCTTGCGGAACACATTCTGAAAAGCGAACGCCAGAAGAGTGGACAGGCCGGAGGCTTCAGTCCGCCTCGCTGCACTAGCTCTTCAGGAGGCGTTCTGGGTTACAGTGACCTCTCCAGAGGTGACACCGAGTGGGCCTCTCACTAGAGCTTGACTGGAAGGCTATGTGGCTGTGACTCTTCCATGTGAGCCCGTGGCTAATCCAGCTTCCTTTCCTCCACCTGTGACCAGCAAGGCACTGCTGCTCTTTGTGCCCTGGAGCCTCTATCAAACACCAAGGGAAGTCAGTGCGCTGATCTCAGGCTTCTCTTCTTTTTTCATTACAGCCCCATTACAGGCTCTATCCCACCAAGCCCTAGTCCACTGTGAGTCCACTTAATATCAATCCATTCATCAACTGCATTTCTTAGTCTCATAGGAGATGACCTGTGCCAGAGGAGAAAGAGACTCTGCCTCAAATAGAAACAGGACACGCCAACCATGCTGGCCCGATCTTCTCAGGCCCTCCCAGACTTTGCTCTGGACTCCTGGGGCCTTCTGGGTACTGGGATGCAAAATGATGTCCCCTCTCACCTCCCCAGGGCCCTGGGATTCTGGGCTGGGAGAACCAGACGGGCAGTTTTTGAACTGGGGAGAAGAAGACAGAGAGAATGAACACAGGCTTCTCCTAGCCAACCAAAACTAACTCTCTCACTGTGTCAAGCAAAACCCAGACGGTGCAATTATCTGGTTAATTCGGCCCTCAGTGAAAGACAGGCTCTGAAAATCTGAGGCCAGCTTAGACTAAACAGTGGCTCTGTCCTAAGCTCCCTCCCGAGCCCTACGGATGCACAGATTCCTGGAGGCTGCTTGTGTGACCCACCCACGGTCCAGCTGGCAGAGACGACGAACTGGACTCCAAGACGGTTTGGGAAGGTAAGTCTTCCAGGGAAACATGCCCAAATAACCTGCTAATTGGTCTCCTCAATCTGCCAAGGCTTCCACATGAACGAGCCCTTGGGCCAGCCGGTGTCCCCAGAGCTCGGGAGAGCTGCTCTCAGAGCAATCCCCTCTGTGGCTCCTGCACACAGATTTCGTACCTACAGGTCGGGCCAAAGGAAGTGCGGAGATGAAAGGGAGGAATGAGTAACACACTTCTGGGTGCCGCAGTGGGGACAGGCGGGCCTGGCTCAGCTGGCAACTGAGCATCTACCAGGTGGTTTGTGGAAAACCCAGAGTCTGAGGGAAATCACAGTACAGTGATTTCTCACCCTGGAAACTGACACACAGCGTGGGATCTGCGGAATCCACTGGTTATTCATCCTGCGAGCTCTTCCTTCAGTTCTGGTTCGTGTCAGGCCTGGTGCCACATTCTGAAGTCTGAACAGCCATGGCCCCCACCCTCATGCAAAGAATCCCACCTTAAATACACGGCAAAAAACTCCAGTCAGGGCTGTGAAGGAAGAGCTGAGATGGAGGCTGAGGCAGAGAACAGCCGGCTGACCGACAGAGATGGGCTCCGGCTTCAAGGCTGGCGCGCTGCAGGACTGGTGGCACCAGCCTCGGGGTGAGGGATAAAGGCCAGAGCTGGGCAAGAGCCGGGGAAGGGGCTGCTACACGCGTGAGCTGGTGCCGTGCGCAGGGGTCCCGCCGAGGCAGATCCTCGGAGCCAGGGCGGGCGGACGCCCTTGAGATTACAGGATCGGGCAGCAGCACGGGTGTGGGTACAGCAGGAGGGCAGCACCCAGCAGACTGTGCCTGCTCCTGCACGGTGGACAGGAGAGGGTGTTGACAAGGAGGGCCTGGGAGGGTGTGGAGGACAGGGCCGGGCAAGACAGATGGCCTGCTCTGGAGCTCGCCAGTGAGACTCTACACCTCGAGCCCACCTGTGGGAGACTTGCGCCCCCGCCCGGGCAGCTGGCTCCCAAGCCCCACTGCTTGGACAGAGCTGAGGCTCGCTCCTCTCCTGCCTCCGCTGAAGCCCCCCAAACTCACACTGCCTCCCTGCCTAGACTCGGCCCCAGCTTCTCCACAGAGCTCACTAGTGGAGTAGACACTGGACAAATATTTGTGAAAAGAACACAAATATCCTGCTTTTTGCCATGGGAGGAAAACCAGTAGACACTGGATTGACTTGAAAGCCACAGGGCCAAGCTGAATTCCAAACTGTAGGTGTTTCAATGAGGCCAGGCCAAGTGGACACGCAGGGGCCTCTCTGCTCCTGACACAGCTTGAGAAAGGCAGAGAGAAGAGGAAAGGTCACACCCACAGCCCTCACCCAGTTACTGTGCTTTCCTCAATAATTTCACAGCAGCCCCTGGTTGGTCTTATTGACCTTGATGGTGAGAGGAGGGGGGAGAAGAGGAAGATGGGAGAAGAAGAAAAACAAGAGCAAGAACAAGATGAAGAAGGAGGAGGAGGAGGAGGAGGAGGAGGAGGAACAGGAAAAGAACGGAAATTGCTTAAAGTGCCCTGCATGCACCAGGCACCGCGCTAGGCCCCTTCCACGCACACCTTCATCGATCCTCCCAGCAACCCCAGGACTCGCGATCACTGGATGATGTGTTTATCACTCTGAGTGCAGAGGAAAAGCTTGGCAGAGCTTTGGCACTGCACAACACAGGCCACACGCCACAAGGTGGCATTGGGGTTTGAACCCAGTGTCTGCCCCAGAGCCCGACAGGAGGTTCTCATTTGGGGAAGCCCAGGAGACCACACCTTCTGGTTCCGATTCTGTCCCAATTTCCTGCCCAGCCTTGAGCAACATCATGTTTCTTCCCACACGAAACAGGAGGCCAGAGTATTCACCACAGGGATGACAGGGACAGCTAGGATTCTCAGGTCTGATCTCTCTTGAGGTGTCAGATAATTTAATACCAACAGCGACACAAGATGGAGGGGCAGAGAGTTTAAACCACGGGCTCAGCCCCAGGGGATGACAGCCAGTTCAACACGCTAGCTCTCGAGAAGTTCTCCCTGGCCGAAAGGGTCCCAGGAGATGTCAGGGGCCCTGGAGAACAGCACGGGTCACAGACTTTTGGGAACCCCACCCCTGCTTCCACCAGAGCAGCTCTGCCTGCCTCTGTTTGTAGAATGAACTGCTTGCTATCTGGCATTTCCTTTGAAACTTTTGCTGCTGAAACAAAAAGGCTGCAAACTACTTGACCGAATAATTCTGGATTTCAGTGAAACTCCCAGGTCTGTCCAATCCAGGATATTTCCGGTTATCTTAATTAACATGGCCAAGTAAGACGGGCCCGGGTGCTCTCAGCAATGGCGCAGGCATGGAAAAGGGCAGCATGGCAGAGTCCAGACTCAGCCCCACCTACCTGTTCCACTCGGATCTCAACCTCTCCGTTCACCTTCTTTCCGTGGAAATACTTCGCCCTGCAAGGAGAGAGAAGGGATGAAGGCAGCTTTCCTTCTCCTCTGTTCTCCCTTCTCCCAAAGGCCCTGCCCCTGGGGGACACGCTAAGGCTTTCTCCACCTCCCTCTCTCCCTACTCGTGAACGCAGTCACCACGTGTGGCTGAGAGGCGTGCGTGGTGAAGGGAAGCGTGCGGACGGAAGGCAGGACACGAGTTCCAGGCCTGTCCACTCGGCCTCCCCAAATTCCCATTTTATCATCTGGGACAGAGGTATGACGGCCTCCCTCCATATGCCTCAGGGTTTTTAGGGTTAAACAAGGCAATGAGTAAACAAATCAGTACTATTTTATTAAGCAACAGCCTAGTAAAACAGGGCCTTCCACAAGGGACTTCTCACTGACCCGCCCATTCACCCTTTCTGCGCTGTCCATTGGTCCAGCGAAGCAGTCGTCATGGGCCCCACCCTGCCGCTCCTCCAGGGGTTCCCTCGCCCCGGCCACGCCCCTGCCCACTGCTCAAGGCCGCAGTGTGGCCCACACTCCTGCGCTGCTCCTCCCTCCCTGTCCCCCATTCCGCAAACGTCCCAGTCGTGTCTCGGAGCCAGCTGTCCACGGCCCTGACCCGTGACGTCTCTTCCGACACAGACCGTCTTGTACTCAGCCCTCCCTTCCTACCATCACAGGTGGAGTTGGTCACGTCCCTTACGCCTGAGTCCACCGAGCCATCCCCTGTACCCACAGCTGCTCCACGCCCCGGGGCCAGCTCCCACTGAGGAAATAAACGGCTGAAGAGACCAATGAGCTTTGCGAATCTGATGCTCACAATCACCCGAAGTAAGCATTTTCATTTCCGCCCTGTAGAGGAGGAAACTCAGAAGCTCAAAGAGAGTCCATGCTTTGCGGAGGGGCTTGAATTCAGACTTGAATCCTTGTTTTTTCTCGGTAAGGCTCGCAGTCATTGTGGTCAGGTTCACCAAGGGGCTGGTTTTCACACGCACATGCTAACCCTTCTCACGCCTCCCGTACTGTGTGCCCCGTCTCTGGACCCCCTTCCCTGCTTCCTGTACCCAGCCCTCACCCAGGCCTCTGTTCTACAGTTGTGCTTCTGCAGACTCCTGAGAAGCAGCGGCCCTAGCTGGAGTGCACAAGGCCTTAGACAGCTTCCCAAAAACAAAGCAAGAGGAACACAAGTGCCCACTAGGGCCTCCTGGTCACTGTCATAACTGGGAGTCATAGCCCTGGGCCGTGGGAGAAACCAGGCACTGTTCTGGGCATTTCTGTGAGTCTTCTCATGGAGAGAGACAGCTCTTCTTTCCTCGGGACTTGCTCCGTCCTTCCCCACAGCGAGAGAGCTGATCTACCTGCACATACAGCTGTGCTCCAGCTCTCCACCAGCCAGGGGTGGCCATGCAGTTGAATTCTAATCAATATTTCGGAAGCACTACATTCAAGGACCTTCCTCAGAGCTCCGTTTTTTCCTTGGAACACGGGTGTTGCCAACTATTTTCTCAAACCTCCCATTTGTGAAAGGCCCCTTTCTATAAATTCTCAGACTGCTTTTCCGCCTATTTTCAAAGCTGCTGTCAATGCTTGGCCTTTGTCAGTGGAGCTGTGTCTTCCCAAGTCCAAGACTCGCTGACTGGCACCTGCTATGTCAGTGCCACTTTCTCCTACAATGTTGACAGCCCAAGATGTCATCGACTTGGACTTTCGTGGGACAGGAACTGCTGGTGTGACTTGAAAGGAAAGTTGTTTTCTTCTCCCAGCGATGTTCTTCAATAAAACGCATGTGGGCAGGCCTCACGTCAAGGGATACTGCAGAATTTGTGGGTTTTATCACAAACCTTCAGTGGTCACGTCAGCAAATTCCAGACACCAGCACGGGTTCACCTCTAGTAATTGTGGGGCTCAGAGTGTGTCTTATGTCTAATATTTAAAACTGTGAATAAAACTAGAAAACTTAAATAAAACAGGCCTGTCGCCTTCCTTGACAAGTTCAACTTCACAATGACCTCAAAGATTCAAAACTTAGACTGGAAGCTCTAGGAGTTCCAGCAGAACGTGGGGAATGGGGAAGGCCAGCTCTCAGCGCTGCTTCTCAGTTTCTCCCCCCAGAATCCACTCTGTCCTGTGTCCCCAAGGATTCTGTGCGGGCTCCCGGATGGCCACCTTGTGGGGGGCTGGGCCAAGGAATGGGCCCACACAGCTCTTGGAGTTAGGCAGAGAGATCCAGGGCTTGGGGACCCAGAGCACTACTGGAGTGGTTTCCAGGCACCTCGCCCTGCTGACTCCTCTGCCTGCAGAGGGCAGTGGCAGGAAGAGCTGGAGTGGATCCAGGGCAGACATCCTCCAGCTCTGGGTGGGCCTGGACCCTGGGCTGCCCAGGGCTGCAAGTCTGCTGCAGGGTCAGGGAGCTGCAGTCCTGTGGGTGAGGGCAGTATCTTGGCTCTGCAGCTCCCTGCAGGGCATCTGACAGCTCACCGAGCGCTCCGTCTGTGCGCCAGTTTGCCGAGTGGTGAGGGCACCCAGGGGTCAGGTGGAGATGAGGAAGTCACTGCAGCTCTGTGAACACAGGTGGGGCGACTACAGGCCTGGAAACACCCCACTCCTCCACTCGTGAGCTAAGCAGCCTCCCATGAGTTTCTCACACCTGCCCCCCACCCCTGCACCTCAGTTTCCCTGTCTGGTAAGGGGGATGACAGTGCTCACAGGGTCACGGTGAGAAGCAAATACACTTAGAGTTGGCCCTGGCCCCACCAGCTAAGCTCCAGGTCTGCAACCCAAGACCTGAAACAGAACCCCAACAAGAACACTGTTCACTCTGCCAGCTGAGTGGCTTCGTGGACCACCGAGAAACAACACAGCCACCTTCTCAAGGCCCGCAGAAGCACAGGACCCAGTGGGGAAGGACAGTGCCCCCTCCTGCTGACCTGTAGGATGCCCAGGGGTCACAGGCAGGGTCACCAAGGCTCCGGAGGGCGACTTCTGGTTGGACCCTTTCCTTTATCAGGGCTCAATCCACGTTCCAGGTCCTCCCAATCCCCCACCTGGGTGGGCAGCCGCACCAATGCCTCTCGCCCCGGGCACTAGGTGGTGCCCGCGCGTCCAGTCCACGTATGCGCTCTGGTCTCTACTCGTCTGGCCACCTCTGCCCCGGGTCAAGGCCTCGGAGCATGGGTGTCTCCTGCTGCCGTGCTGTGTCTGCAGCAGTTTCACGCTCCCCCTGCCCTGGCATCTCGTCTAGAAGCCAGAAGTTTAGTCTCAGGGCTGTGTCCAGTGCACTGTGGACACAGGCACATGCTTAAGAGATTTGGTCCCCTGGGCAAATGAACAATGGCTGCCCTTCCTTGAGACGTGCTACTGCCACCTGCTGGTACCTCTCAGTCACCGAGGTCCTTGTACAGTGTCCAACCTGCACAGCCATTTCATCCCAGAGCACTTTGCATTACACCAGTACCACCCAAGCAGCTCAACCCTGACGTGGCCTTGCCTTCTAGTTCTGCCCACCTCTGGAATGTTTACTGCAGGGCTTGGCAGACGCAGAGGCGAGGCAGGGGTCAAGCAGTCCATCCCCCTGCCTGGCCGGGACTCAGCAGTCTGTCTCCTGATGGGCCACACAGACTGAGGCCTCCTGGCTGTGCTCATTCAGGCCCTTGCCTATGAACAGCTCTGCCTGGCAGCAGGGAGGGAGGATGGTGTGGAATTCCCGATGCCCTGGGGGCTGGGTGTGCTGCCTGTCACTGAGTGGCTGTGTGACCTCAAGCAGCACAGTCGGGCCGCTCTGTGCCTGGGGCTTTGTCCTGGCTGGCTCCACCTGGGCCATCCATCAATCCAGGCCTCCGAGGGGCGGGAGCCATGGCTCCAGGGCCCTGTCTCCGTGGGTGGCCTCATCTTTATGGCCACATCCAGCCCCAGAAGGAGAATACAGCAGCAAAGCTGAGCTGTGGGAGGGAACCCTGCACTGACCCAGGCCTGCTGTGCAGGGAGAGGAATGAGGGCAGGGACGCGAACCTCCAGCAGGAGAGAATGGGCCCCACAGGCCCCATCTGTGCCCCCCTCAGGGCTCATCCAGCAAGGCCGTCCTGGAGGTGGCGAGCTGGCAATGCCCTTCAGGGGAGGGTGCTTGGCAGATGCTGGAAGCACGGCGCCCCCTTCCGGAGAGATTCCTGCAGCAGGCACCATGTATCAGCTCATCTGTGGTCTGGACAGAGGCGAAGAGACGGACCCCGGACCACACAGGGGACTGCTAAGGGCAGACACACGCAGGCTTCCAGCTAGCAAGGTGAGAGGGGTCACAGGTGGCAAATGGAGGTACTTGGCACTCACAGGGTCAGTGCCTGATTCGGGCTTTATCCTCTGCTTCCCAGAACAGCTCGCCTGCCCCTTCTCACTGCCAGACTGCAGGCTCTCCAAATGGGGCAGCCCTCGGTGGTCCATGCAGCCAGGGTTCCTGCTCCTTGGCCCTGTTGGGACCTAAAGCCCTGGTCTTGGGCAGCAATGGGGAGAGGGGTCACTGTGTCTCCACTCTCTTCCCAGTTCATGTAACTTCCTGGCTCCTGGTCCCATCACCCAATGGGAGGGGAGGGCACACAGCTCCTGCCCTAGCAGACCTCAAGCATATGGAAAGAAATGGACTGTGAAGAAAGTGCAGGGACTATGGCAGCTGAGGGTGAGCTGCAGAGAGCAGAGGACTGTGCTTGGCTGTGGAAGGCTTCTTTGAAAGACGCCCTACACTGATGGTGACTGCGCATGCTTCACACAGAGCTCTTGGCACCAAGGTGCAAGTGCTGAGGTCCCAGGGCTCTTGAAGGAGGGGGACACAGGTGGCACCCAGCCGGCGGGCTGGGAGCTACTGCCCCGAGGTGGCTCAGCTTGTTCTCCGTCCATCTGCTCTGTGGGACCTGTCCTCTGCCACAGGCTGCAGCAGGAGAATTCGGGGTCAGTGCTGTGTGTGTTGGGTGGGGGAAGATGCAGGCAAAGGCGAATGAGCTGGGCGGGCACAGGGGCGCTGTGGGGCAAGG